GTTTAGCCACATTTTCAACAAAATTGTGCGAAATTGGGTATTTACAATGCGTAATGTGTACCAATTGGTATAGTTAACTACTCCGCCAGAAAATTCTTTATATAGGTATTTTTTGTTTTAGTATATCCTCCATATAATTGTTCGGCCAATATTGTCCATTTCGTATCGGACCCAAATAAACATGATATAAATATTGGGACATGACAGGTATGATTATTTCCCTCACTTTATACGATATATGTGATAATTTTTAGAAAATGTTAGAATCTGCGTGAGGTACCAGATAAAGTCGACCGAAGTATACTATTTTCAATACAGATAAAAATATTGTTATAGATAAAATTACAAGAAAATCGAACATTTATATTCAATTTTATGCGAAATTATAAATTCTATATTCATCTCAGGTTTCTGGTATTAAGATATAGCCAGTTGTAAAGAATCGCTGACTTGTTTCGCAAGTTATGGAAAATTGTGAGGTACCAGAAGGGGTTGGCAAATATATGTATATCATCTTTACAAGATATCTTACGTTAGCAAAAAAATTGTATTTGTGAAATCTGAAGAGAGATGGATGCTTATTTCGCTTTCTTTAAGCGCTTTTATATACCTTGAACCCAATAAACCAGATGAAATGGTTCGACTCTACCATCTTTATAATAGATAATAGAAGTTTGAATGAATTCCGATGTTAATTTCGTGTTTTATGAGCTTCATGGATATTCAAAATGTTGACCCTTAGTAGGGAAGGTAGCAGAAAGAGTGCAGCGATATATCCCATCTTCACAGCATATTTTGCGTTAGTAGAAATAATGGGATGAGTGAAATATGAAAAAATCCGGTTGCTTATTTCGTATTTTATAATAGTTTTGGACATTCATAACTTTAACCCTTTGTGGGGGAGGTATCAAAAGGAAAAGACCGCTCTCTACCATCTTTGTGACCAATCTAGTGCTGATAGAAATATTGAGAAGTGTCAAGTCTGAATGGAGTGGGATGTTAATTTTAATTTATAAAAGTTTTAAAAATATTCAACATTTTGACACTTTGTGGGAGAGGTACTTGATGGAGTGGACCGCACCTAACATAGCACTGATGCAAATATTTGGATATGCAAAGTTGGAGCAATATCCGATTATTCGTTCTGTTTCTGTAAAGAAAAATATTTTGTATACCCTCAGGGTATATTTCATTTAATACGGCCAAAACGTGCCTCATCGAAATAATGGTTTTAGACCCTAGGTCTCTTTGAACCAAATGCGTTTTAGGACATTTAAAGACAATCTAGCGATGTCCAGCCGTCCGCCTGTTCGGAGATGGACACTATTGGTTCACTCTTTCTAATACCTTCCCCACAAATGGTAGAAACTTTCGAAAAAAAAAAAAACAATTTGTTTTACTCCACAGAAAGAGAAAGTGCGAATAGATAATATCGGTCTATTCCATCAAATACCTCCCCCACAGTGGGTCATTATTTTGAATAATTATAGCTCATATAAAAAGTGATTTACATCCTCCTTCATGAAGCTCATAAAAATTACTATCCGATCCCATTCAAACTTCTTAAATCACAATATTTCCATCAAAACAAGATCTGTTATAAAGATTATAGATATCGGACCAAGGCTTCTGGTACCTCCAAAATTCAAAATTCAAATTTCACACAGACAAATATTTTTGCTAACCCACAAATGTTACAACTTTCTATATTTTGTCTGTCATAGCTTGAGAAACAAATCAGCGATTCTTTACAACTTGATATATCTAAATATTTCTCTCAACCAGAAATCTGAGACGAATATGGATTTTATGATTTCGCATAAAATTTTGCCCATACCAATATTTTTATCTGTATTTGATGAAGTATGAAAATGGAGACCTATATCTGGCACCTTACGTATATTTTAACTTTTCCTAAAAATTATCACACATCTCATAAAAATTGAAGGAAATAACCAGTACAGTCCAAACCTGGCACGTTTAATTATTTATGTCATATTTATTTGGGTCCGATACGAAATGGACAACATTGGTCCATTCCTTCCGAACCTACTCAACAGAGGGTCAACAAGTTGAATGATCGTAACAGAAGAATCGTAACAGAAATCACAATATATTTAACTAATCAAACATTGGCTGAAAACATACATCTGTCGACAAGACCGACCGCTACTTTTTAACTCGTTATACCCTCAGCCATTTGGCTACTGAGGGTATATACAATTTGATACGGTCAAATAGTCGAAATAACGGTTTTAGACCCTAGGTCTGTCCGTCTCAGAACATTTGGAGTCGCTGTAGCGATGTCCGTCCGTCCGTTCGTCTTTCTGTCTGGATGGTGCGCACGATAACTCCCCAAGGGAGTATCCGATTTTGACCAAACTTGGTACATCGTAATATTTTTGTGAAACTTAGATCGAGTTCGGAGATGGGCAATATCGGTCCACTCCTTCTGGTACCTCCCCCACGAAATCTTGAAATTTTCAAGGAAAATATTTTATTGCAAAGAAAGTGAAAGGATGATTCGATTTTTCTTCAACTTCACAAATCCCAATATTTTCATCAGCGCTAGGTCATGTGAGAAAATGTACAATATCGGTCCACTCCTTCGGGTACCTCCCCCACAAATGGCCAAAATTTTGAATAATTACAACTCTCATAAAATGTGAAGTAAGAGGCCGATTTCACACATCTCAATATTTATATTAACCCAAGGTCTGGTGTTAAGATAGATAATATTGGTCAATTCCTTCTGGTACCTCCCCCCAAAAGTCGAAATTTTCAAAAAATATATATTTTTGCAACTTCTTTACTTCTTTCTTGCTATACCTAAATATATGTCTATCATCCAGAATCTTGAGATGATCCATAGAGGGTCAAGAGTTTGAAAATTCATAACAGATGCCAAAATATTTTGAAAAAATCGAACATTGGCTAAAGGTATGGATCTGTCGGCAAAACCGATCGATACTTTTTGACTTGTTTTTTTTTTCATTATTATATGAAGTGTAATACTCCTCACGCACATTTCTTAAGTTTTTAAAATTTATTACATTTCTCATATAAAGGTGAAAAAAGTAGTCGATATAGGCCAAATCTAGAATGTCAGACTTAGGTCAGTTACGAAACGGACATAGGCTGCGGATATACATCTGTCGGCAATACCGACTGATACTTTCTAGGTTTTTTTCATTGCCCCGTCATTGTTATTATCAATAGTTCCTCCCGGCCAAACATATGGTCTTTTTTATGCCCTCCACCATACTATGGATGGTATATTAAGCGTAAAATTCTATTTTTTCAGTAGACAGGTAAAGTTCGTAAATGGACCATGTAGGTCCACGTCTTCGTATAGCCCCCATATAACGCTACCTCCCGATATTCGGTATTTTGATGATTTTAGCGACATTATTTACCGAAATTGTTTCAAATTTGGTATTTGAAGTTCGTAATGAATACTACAGCCTAAGCCAGAAAATTGTCTGTACAGGTCCTCGTCTTCATATGGCCCCCATATAACGCTACCTCCCGATATTCGGTATTTTGATGATTTTGGCGACATTATTTACTGGAATTGTTTCAAGTTTGGTATTTAAAGTTCGTAATGGATACTGCAGCCTAAGCCAGAAAATTGTCTGTGCAGGTCCTCGTCTTCATATAGCCCCCATATAACGCTACCTCCCGATATTCGGTATTTTGATGATTTTAGCGACATTATTTACCGGAATCGTATCAAATTTTGTATTTGAAGTTCGTAACGGATGCTACAGCCTATGACAGAAAATTGTCTATGCAGGTTCACGTCCTTGTATAGCCCCTTTATAACGGTACCTCCCAATATTCGGTATTTTGATGATTTTATCGTTATTGTTCACCAGAATTGTTTCAAATTACGTATTTAGAATTCGTAATGGGATCTACAGTCTGTGACAGAAAATTGTCTATACAGGTCCAGGTCTTAGCACAGCTCTGATATAAAGGTACCTCCCTATATGCGATATTTTGATGATTTTAGCTACATTATTCACAGTTTATTTCAAGTTTTCGAATTTGAATATGGTAATGGCTTATGACAAACAATGTCTATGTAGGTCCACGTCGTATAGACCCCAATAAAACGGCTATATTCGGTATTTTTAAAATTTAAACAGAATTTTTTAAGGATTTTATTCTTTGAAAATTTCCAAATTCGTTCCAAATGGTGGAGGGTATTCAAAGTTTGGCCCGGCCGAACTTACTGCTTTTAAGCTTGTTTTTTTATTATTATTATACGAGGTGTAATACTCCGGTCCACTATATCTGGAACCTCACTCACATTTCTTAAGTTTTCAAAATTTATTACATTTCTCATATTAAGGTGAATAAAGTAGTTGATATGGGCCAAATCTTGTGTGTCAGACTTAGGACAGTTACGAAACGGACATAGGCTGTGGATATACATCTGTCGGCAATACCGACTGATACTTTTTAGGTTGTTTTTTCATTGTCCCATCATTGTTGATATCAATAGTTCCTCCGGGCCAAACTTATGGTATTTTTTTGTTTGTTAAAGAATCTCAATCATCCAGTCGATGATGGATTTATCACCATGCCATATGAGAGCTTTGAATCAAATTTAAGCCCACGAATTTCTTAAATTGAAATTTGGACATTTGATAGCTCCCTTTGCTGTTTTCCATTAGGCGATGCTTCTTTCAAATATTATTTTTTATCAAATTTATGTTCGATTAATTGAACCCGAAACAGTCAAAAACCTAGAAATGTTTTCACCTTAAATTGAATATTTATGTTATCTCCGACCCCGGCAATTCCATTGGGTTCGGCGCTTTAAATAGAACGAGGAATTCTGAATAAAACATTATCTTAACATAAAAATGAAATTGCCATGTATTTGTTTATTTATTGCTTCTATGTATCACCCAGCCATTCCCGCTCCCTCCACACCACCCCTCCATTCGTATTACATAACAAAAAGTAATCTGAACATTATTTGTACTCACCTTCGTTCGATGTTGGTGTTTTGTCATTATTACTCATCTTGATGGATTTCTTTTGAAGAGATTCCTTTACAGTTGATGAGGATGCTAAGAGTCCTGTAGGCGTTCGTTCTTCCTTCGTCTTTTCTTTGTGTATTTGTTGGTTGGGAGGGTTGTCCGCCTTGGTATTTTTGTATTTTTTTTTTTTGTTTCTTGGCTGTTAGGTTAATGATATTTCGTTGTTGTGGTTCTCCTTATCTATGTTCGTAGTATCCTTCTCACTTCCCTCTTGCCTTAGCCTTGTGCCTTTATTAACTTTCTTAATAAATGTTTATGGTTATTATGAATAGATTTCTTTGGTTTTGTTATTGTTGTTGCTTTTGTCGTAGATCTTGTTGTTGTTGTTGCTGTTAAAGGGCAGGTGTTTGGTTACTAATCTTTAATAAAATTTTTATAGAATTAAGATTTTTTCCGTCCCTCTCTCTCTCCCCTTTTGCGTTCCTTGTTATTTAGTTTTCTTGTTATTGTTGCTTTCTTAGTTTGGTATCCTTCATTCTTTTGCTGCTTTTGTTCGCACGTCTCTGTGTGTGTGGGTGTGAGTTGTGTGCCTTTGTTTTCTTGCAAAACAATTGATGGCGGTCGCTAGGTGAAGGCCAAAGGTAAATAACGTTAGAGGAGAAAACCAAAAATGGGGAAAAAATCCAAAATACCGGAGATCTGAAAAAGGCCAAGTCGCTGTTGATTTGTTTTTGTTGAGTTTTGATTAGCCGCTTTCTAGGGTTCTCTATTTAATTTCTGTTTTCACTCAATTAGATTTTCGAAAGTTTTTGGCTAGTTTTCCGGGGGTATTGTTTGAACAAAGTTTTAGTGGTGTTGGTGTTGTTCATGCTGGCTGGCTGGTTGGCTGGCTGGTTGGCTGCCTGGGTGTTTGCTTTCTCCTGTCGTGCTATGGACTCCGGTTGATGTTTACATTTTGTGGGAGGTCTGGGAGGGTATTCCGTGTTGCTTTGCAATGTTGATTTGTTGCCTCCTCTACACCCACCTCCGTGTATTTGATGTTGTTGTTCTATTTGGGTTTTGTATTTACACAGTTTAGGGATCTGGTTTTTCTTTACCGTTTTGGGGGGTTTTCTATCTCTCTCTCTCTCCCTCTTTTGCTATGAGGGAATTTTTTTCTTCGTTTTTTTTTTTTCGAAGCCTTAGTTTTATTTGCTTCTGCAGCTATTGCTGTGGCTGTTGTTTTTCACTTGATTTTCCTAACTGAAAATTGAATTGGTGTTTTAGTTTATATTTTCAATTTGTTGAATTTTCGTTGCTTGTATTTTATTACAGTGCAGTGCCGAATGACCACTTGGCCAGAAATATTGCTGTTGTTGTCGGTCTTGCTGCTGCCACTGCTGCTGTTCATCTTGTGGTCTAAATGTATTTACCCACTTTGTTGGCTGCTGTTCTGTTGTTCGCCTAGCTTCTTGTTGTTGATGATGATAATTTTGCTTCAACATGTTTTTCTTTTTTGTTATTTTGTTTTGTTCTATTTTCTTCACTTCGTTTCCATTGCCATTGCAAATGCACAAAATATTATTTCACATTTCGTTCATTTCATTTCGTTGCAATTTTCCTTTCCATTCAATTCAATTCAACTCATTTCATTTCGTTTCTTGTTGATTTTATTTTCTGCAAAAGAAATTACTCAAGTACGGCCTGAGAAATTCGCAAAATTATATTTCATTTCATTGCCAGCGATAAGTGCCATTTAAAACCAACTCAACACGGATCATGTATCTGTGGTGGTCTTCAGGCATATTGCCGTCTGTTTTCAGAGAATCTGCAAATAGTAGAGACGAAATTATGTGAAATTTAAAATTAGAGAAAATATATATTTTTTTATAACATTCATTGAAAATTTAAATATTAAAATCTATAGTGTATTCTGCAACTTATTTTTGCAGTTACCGTCAAAAAAATGGTACATTTTGATATAAAAACCAGTAAAGAAAGTGTTAAAGTCGGACGGGCCGACTTTATGATACCCTACACCACCTTGCTAATTTAGTAGAGCTGCGCATAACAATTAAAAGGTTTTATGGGAGAATTCAATCATACACGCTAATTATAATTTAAAGTTCAAAGGACTAAATATGCCGAAGCATTTGTATCTTTAAAATTCGGACTTGTATTGCCCATTTGGTGCACAATTAATTTGAAATCGGATAAAAATATATATGGGAGCTATATCCAAATCGGAACCGATCTCGATAAAATTTGGCAAAAATATTTCTGAGCTGAATTTGATATATTTCCCCGAATATCGTTGTTACGGAGTGCATATTACGGCTCTGGGCAACAAATATGACAAATCGGATGAACAGCATATATGGGAGCTATAGCTATATCTGAACCGATCTTCACCAAATTTGGCATACTAGCTTCTAGACTCAATTCGGTCGAAAGTGCCAAATTTCATCCCATTTGGGCAAATATTAGACGTTTGGTGCACAATCAAAGGTAAATCGGACGAAGTTATATATAGGAGCTATATCCAAATCTGAACCGATCTCGATAAAATTTAGCAAATGTATTTTTAAGCTGTATTTGATAGATTTCCCGAAATAATGTTGTTACAGAGTGCATATTACGGCTGCGGAGGACAAAAATAACAAATCGGATGAACAATATATATGGGAGCTATAGCTATATCTGAACCGATTTCGATAAAATTTGGCATACTTATTTTCAGGTCCAATCTGATCGTACGTGCAAAATTCCATACTATTCGGACTGATATTACACGTTTGGTGCACAATAAAAGGCAAATCGGACGAAGATATATATGGGAGCTATATCTAATTTTTTACCGATTATCTCCAATTTCAATAGGGTTCGTCCTTGGGCCAAACAAATGATTTGTGCAAAATTTCATCTGGATAGGGCAATAAATGTGAACTGTACTTTGTTTACAAAAATACATGGACAGGCGGACAGATGAACGGACAGACGGACGGACATGCATAAATCGACTCAGAATGTGATTTTATGCAGATCATCAAAAGGAACTATGGGTCTATCTCGTTTCCTTTTGCCTGTTACAAACAAATGCACAAAGACATAATACCCTGACCACCTTGTGGTGTAGGGTATAACTAGTAAGAAAAAGTCAAAAGTCGGGCGAGGCCGACTGTATGATACCCTACACAACTATGCATATTTAGTAGAGCTCCCGTAACAAAAGAATTTGAAGTAGATCATACCACTAATCAACATTTAGCTTTAGAGAAGTTGTGGTTTGGTTTCAGAGGGAGGCATATCCAATTCTGAATCGATTTTCACTAAATTTGACGGAGACATTTTAATCTTTTATACCAAATAACATTGCTTTAGAGTGCATGGCAAGGATTAAATTAAACAAGTATAAAAGCAGTAAGTTCGGCCGGGACGAACTTTGAATACCCTCCACCATTTGGAACGAATTAGAAAATTTTCCAAAAAATAAAATCCATTGAAAATTCTTTTAAAATCTTCAAAATACCTAATATCGAAAGGTGCCGTTATGTGGGAGGATATACGATATTATGGACCTATATAGATAACTCTCTTTCAGGGAGTAAAGTACTCACAAAGAACTCCTTGTGTGGATTATCAGACAATTCAATTTAAAAATGTGGGTAAAATCATCAAAATACCGAATATCGGGGGGTACCGTTATATGGGGGATATACGATATCGTGGACCTATATCGACAATTCTCTTTCAAGGGATGAAGTAATCACAAGTAACTCCTTGTGTGGATTTTCAGACCATTCCATTAGAAAATGTGGCTATAATCATCAAACTACCGAATATCGGAGGGTATACGATATCGTCGACCTATATAGATGATTCTATTCCGAGGTATAAAGTATCCATAAGGAACTCCTTATGTGGATTTTCAGACAATTCCGTTGGAAAATGTGGGTAAAATCATCAAAATACCGAATATCGGGGGTACCGTTATATGGGGGCTATACGATATCGTGGACCGATATAGCCGATCTTCTAACTTGACCTGCCTGCAGACAAAAGAGAGATCTGTACAAAATTTTAGCTTCCTATCTTAATTCGTTTAGCCTGTAGAGTGATTACAACAGACGGACGGACAGGGCTAAATCGTCTTAGAATTTTACACTGATCAAGAATATTAATACTTTGTTGGGTCTAAAATGAGTATTTCGATGAGTTACCAACGGAATGACGAACTTAATATACCCTCCATACTATGTATGGTGGAGGGTATAAAAATATATATCGCAGCAGAATTCCACAAAATGGAAAGATACATTCCGAAATTCACTTCACTTGGGCTGATAGTAGCCATTATTTGCACAATAAACCTGAAATCGGATTAAGGCTATTTAGAAGCTATACCCAAATCTTAGCCAAAATTTGGTGAAGGTATTTCCTAACTCTGTAAGATATCTGGTACCAAAATATCACTGTTGTCGAATGCATAGTAGGAATGTGAGGGACTTAAATACTAAATCGGATAAAACAGATACAGAGTGAGATGAAAAAACTTGCAACCAAGTTCAGACTGCTGTTAAAATTATTCCAGTGACAGCTCATTATTTTGTTTACAAGCGTACAAAAACATTTTGGTGAGAATTTTCCAGAAAAAAAGTTATTCGAAATGGAATTCAATTTCGATTTCTTTATATTTGGCTGGAAACCCACAACTGGCATTTAAATGTGAATAATTTTTTTGTGTCTCGTACCATCACTCGTTACCGCAATACTGGTAGCGTAGCCCAGAGTCAAGGAAGTAGACGGAAGAAAACAGCAACATCAGCAGAAATGGTTCGAAAAGAAAAAAAAACGACTTGACCGAAGCCCGCGTAGCAGTGGCCAAAAAAATTCTCATGAGCTGAACATATCACAATATTCCATTCGGCAAATATTGGAAAATGAGCTCGGGTAAAGCCATTGAAATTCCAAAAAGTGCAAGAACTTACACCGCAACAGCAACATAAAGAAAATACACTCAAAAGAGCTAAAGAGCTTCTTCGCTTGGCCGAAAGTGGTGAACTGCCGAATTTGGTTTTCTCCGATGAGAAAACATTCGTTGTCCAGCTGTTTGTAAACAAACAAAATGATGGTGTTTACTTGCCAAAGAGGTCAGCTGAAAATGTGCACCTTCGGTGGCCACAAGAACTCAAGCGCCGGCCAAGGAGATGGTGTGGGCCGCCATAACATCCGATGGTCGCTCTCCGCTCGTATTAATCAACCGTGGCTTCAGAATATATGCCGTTTATTATCGCAAAAATATTCTGGAGGGTGTATTAAAGCTTTGGGCACGCAAATATTTTGCCCGCAGACCTTGGACATTCCAATAGGACTCAAAACCCGCCATCCAATAATGGTTACAAAATGAGGTTCCTCGCTTCATTTCCAGCGCACAATGGCCACCAAAATCTCCGGATACCAATCCGCTGAACTATTGTGTCGAATGTATTTTGGAAAGCATGGATGGCATTAAAAAATACCAAAGTATCGATCACCTCAAGCAAGCGCTTCGCAGGGAATGGGCCAAAATACCGCAGAGCAGCATTAGGGCAGCGTCTGACGGTTTCATTGGCCGTTTGAAAGCCATAATTCGTGCCAAAGGTGACCAATTCGAGCAAATCTAAACTTATTCTGAAATTTGACATTCCGACATTTTTACTTTCATTCAATAAAATTTAAAAAAAAATGTAAAAATTATGGCTTTTGACTTTGCTGCAGTTTTTTTTTTATCTAACCCTGTATTTTTATTTATTTATTTATTTTTTTTTTTGTGAAGACTTGTACAGGGTTGCCCATATTCGACGGACCCATCTGGCAACGCCATAACTTTTGACAGAGATGTCACATCGCTTAATGACATACCACGTTTGAAGCGTCAGTCCAAGCAGATTTTTACCATGAACCAATACACGCCACGCGAGCGCTCTGAAATAGTTGAAATTTATATTCAACAGAAGAAGTCAATTGTGAAAAAAAATGTGAGAATTGCGCCTTCTAAGAACACCATTTTCGACTGGTGAGGCTCTTTCTAATCCGAAGAGGCCATATAAAAGTCGACCAAGGCGATCGGGCGAGAATATCACTGCCGTACGAGCCAGTGTTGAGAGGTCCCCAAAAACGCCGTTCTCAGCAATTGGGCATGGCTCGGTCCACTTTACAATGGATTATTCGCATTGATTTGCATTTGTTCCCGTACAAAATTCAATTGACGCAAAGAATGTTGCCCGCGGACAAGCCTCGTCGATTGGAATGGGCCCAAAGGTCCGTCGAATATGGGCAACCCTGTATCACAGTGTAATTTAATATTGCACTGCTTAAAAGGGATCTTAATCCGAAAATGTGGAAGAGGTGAGAGCTTGCCCCCTGTAGTTATGTTATTTTTCCTATAATTATTATTATTTTTTGTTGTTAATGATCCATCGATTTATAAGCTTCTGTTGGAATAGTATTCCCGCATGGATATTCATGATAAACAGTATTTGCTGGTTTAAAAGAAGTTTTGACCTAAGTTTGACTTTTGATCTTAGGTCACGTTAAACGATCCGCGAAAATTTTGAGTTTCTACATTATTTTTTTGTGTCTGATTTGAATGACTTTTTTTTACAAATATAATTTTAATCGCATTTTTGGTATATTTATTTGTTTCTTTGTACCATTTCTGATTCTACTTATTCAAATGGTAGTAAGGCATTTTCTTGAAAACGCTATTAAACAACATAAAAAGTCTTAATTCAAAGACATATTAAAATAAATGTTTTTTTTTTTTTTTCTTTTACTCTTCTTATCTTT